TGTGAGACAAGGCTTTAGCTTCCTCTGAGCTAGGGAAAAGTGGATATGAGGACCAGCAGGCAGTCCCAAAGCCATATTCACTGTGATTTTTGTAATATTACAGTAGGAGGAACAAGCAGACAGTTCCTGTCTTCTACTTTGCTTTTGTGCTATAAAGCAAGCAGCAGAGGCAACTCCAGTGAAGGGGACACTGGGCATTAGAGGTAGGGTAGTACCCAAGAGATATGTGAACTCCCAAAGGAAGAAGTTTCCTGCCAAGATGAGCCACTGATGCCCTCAGTCTGGTATATATTCATCTCTCCCCTGTAACCTTAGGAAGCAGAACAGAAAAAACAGGTAAGTATGCACAGACAGACATATAACTAATATATGACTGACACAATCAAGACTCACCAAACATCTGAGGAAAGTTCAAGGAATTCTAGAAGGACGGAATGGCGGGAATGGAGGCAAAGAGTATTCAGAGTTAATAAAATGAAATATTTCATTGCTAATGAAATCATGAACCTTCCAGTGAGAGGGCTCATGAGTAGCTACTAGAATCAATAGAAAAAATTAAAGAATCCCAGATCACACCTAGCCACTTGATGCTAACATTTCTGAAAACCAAAGATAGAGGTGAAAATCCTAACCCTTCTCAAAACAAACCAAAAACAGATTACCTAAGAAAGGAATGAAGACGCTGAAGATAACAAAACAATATTCTTAAAGTAACAGTGTAAAATGAAGACAATTTTAGACATGCAAAGATAGAGAGTTAACACCCACCCACAAAAACCATTTAAAGGAAACAAAATAGGCTCATGGGATTCTCACTAACTTAGGAGTGTAGCAAAGAAAACAACACACTTATTTAAAACTCAGAAGTTACATCTTAATTCTAAAGGTGGAGGTGATATAACTCGTATGAATAACAAATCAGCCTTTATTCTGACCCTCTCTGTTCTTTGGGCCTGGAGAATGCAGAAAAGATGACAACCATGAAGCCTCTGCTGGTTTCTCTGGGATATGATACTATAGGCAGGGAGCTGGATTTGACCACTCCTTTTCCAACACAGTAGGATTTTTCAGGTGTAAAGGTAGGCTTTCAGTTAACGGGTAGAGAGACAAATCATTTTAGATGATAAATTGAGAGAGATGGGCAAGGCATTGGATGGAGGTTGGGAGGCTTGGAGTGAGATGGGCTTGGTCATCCTGGCTAGAGGCTTGATCTGTTGAGAGGAGAGGCTAGAAGGAGGGGTTCCTTTTAGATAGGTTGGCTGAAGGGATTTTAATTAAAAAAAAATAATTTCTTGACTTTTTATCTTGAACAAATTTTGGGTTTATGGAAAGGATGCAGAAATAGTATAATTTCCATATATCCCTCACTCAGCTTCTCTACGATGTTAACATCTCACATAAACACAGTACTATTATTAGATCCAGGAAATCAACATTGGCATATAATCCTATTTACTGAAGACTATATTTGAATTTCATCACTTTTTCCACTCATGCCCTTCTTCTGCTCCAGAATCCTATCCAGGATCCCACATGGCCCTTTGTTATTTCTTAGTCTCCCACCATCTGTGAATTTTTGAGTCCTCCCTTGTCTTTTATGACTTTGATATCTTTGAAGAGTATTATCAGTTATTTTGTTCAATGTCTGCCAAACTAGGTTTTCTCATGATTGGACTGAGGTTTTATATTTTTGGCAAAAATAGCACAGAAATGATATTGTGTCCTCAGTGCACCACATAGTGGAACACAAGACCTTTCATTACTGGTGATGTTAACCTATATTTTGATTTCTTTCTGCTGACTTACACTATTATAAAGTTTATTATTTCTTTCTAGATAGTTAATATCTGGGGGAAATACTTTGAAACAATGTAAATCTGTTTCTCATCAAGCTCTAACTAACTTTGGCATACATCTTTATATGTTGTCTGCTACAATTATCACTGTGGTGTTCGCCTAATGTTGATTTTGTTCTTTCCATTATGTTTATTATTTGGAATTTAAGGAAGACATATACTTTCTTTCCATTTATATAATAAGTTTCTTAACTATAAGATGTCATGGATATTTATTTTTAAGGGTTACATCCAATATGATCATTATTTTGCTGCTCAAATTGCTCCACCTTTGGCCATTAGGAGCTCCTTTAGGTTGACCCTTATATACCTTTGGCAAGTTCTACTTAAAAAAAAAAAATTCCTTACTTTCTGGCACAAGATGTTCCATCCACATTTTGTATTTTCCCTTTCCCTGTCCAGCCTCCCAATCATTCCTCCATGGCATTCTAGTTCCTTTCACTGAATGATCGTTAGAAATCAAAGCTGGATACTTATTATTACTAGGGTGTCACTGCTTCTCACCTCTCTCATTGGGATATATATACCTGTATATTAACTAATGCATGTATGCACATCTGTATTTCTGTGTTTATCTGCATATACATCTCATACATGGAAATATGAGTTCATACGAAGCAGCGCATTCTAATCCAGGGCCACAGGGTTGGTTTCGGCTGAAGATAGAAATGTCCAAATGTTTGGTTTATGTCAAAGTGCCCTCCCTATCACTAAAACTTTTTAAATTGTGACTAACACACACACTTGTGTAAGTGTGTGTCAAGGAAAACGGGTCCTGTTCATGTCAGAGCAACATAAAAATTAATGCAGAATAAGAATGTAAGATTGTGAGATCATCTATGAACTAAAGTGACTCAGCAGAAGCAGGAAGTCTGAAACAAAGATATATAGGAAAAATGTAAGGTCCTCCTAAGGGACAGATGGCATAAGTTCTGCCATTGCTACTTTCTGCACCAATGGCAGACACTAACAAATAATTACTACCGATTGAGTCAGCACACGGCTCAAATTCTCAAACTTGTGCTTTAGGCAGCTACTACCAATCAACTGGGATTTGCATTGTAGACACTTACTATCCTGAGGTAAAGAAATAAACAGCTTATGTAAAGTATATCACTTGGGAGAGAAAGATTATCCATCTTTAGAATTTTATAAAAATTATACAGAAAGTCTTTTTTTATTTTTATTTTTTTTTATGGGGCAGAGCCAGACACAACCGTGTGGTCCTCCACGGGGCCGGGGGCTGCAGGGAGGGGGCCCACGTCTGCTTCTCTGCCCCACTTCCTCCTCACCTGCTCCACTCAGGCCTGCCCCCCTCTGCAGCACCTGTGGCCATTGGCAGCACCTGCAGGAACTCCCCTCCCTCACACCCTACAAAAAGTCTTAACAAAACATGGTAACTGAGGCCCAAAATTCCTTTGCATAAGGCCAGTTCCAAGCATTTGGTTCCTGATGCAAAGTTTAGTATCACCTGGTGGTCAATTTTTCACTTTGGCTTAAATATCAATGGGAGACTGAATCAGGTGCCTGGCTGAGATTTTTCAGGGCAGCACAGTGACTCCAGGCATCTTCCTGTTAGGCAGCATCTGTTTCAGTAACTGATCCTATAAGTTTGGATAACACTGGGGACATACAGTAGCCATTCTCCATATCCCTACTTACAAAGATGGAGTTTCTGCCATTTTACTCCCCACTGGGATTCTATTTCCCATCCATGTCATGCTTCTCCTGCGCAACTTTAGATCACCTCAAAGAACAGTACTGAGTGGAGAATGGGAACCAATTACCAGTCAGGTAATATATGAGTTCACAGTATGGTGAGGGCTGACTACACTTTATAAGAGCAACTAGCAGAGAGTTAATGGGAAATAACAGACACAAAGAAGGTGGCAGAATGGTGAGGACAATAGAAAAGTCAGGCTGGCTTGGCAGAGAGGCTGCAGAGTAATGTTCACACTTGGACCTGGCAGGAGTAGTTCCCAAAAGGAGACAGGAAAAAGGAAAGTTGAATGTAGTATAGAAAATCTGGCTTTGTCACATATAGTTAAGTTAATCTGGTCATGAAACCTGATCCCAAAGTGTGTGTTTTCTTTAAGCATGTTATTATATGCCAGCTACTGAGATGGTGAGGACAGGGTAGAGAACATAGATGCATGGACATGGTTTCTGCCCTCATAGGTCTTTCTTTCTTTTTTTTTTTTTTTTTTTGACAGGCAGAGTGGACAGTGAGAGAGACAGAGAGAAAGGTCTTCCTTTTGCTGTTGGTTCACCCTCCAATGGCCGCCGCGGCCAGCGCGCTGCGGCCGGCGCACCACGCTGATCCGATGGCAGGAGCCAGGTACTTATCCTGGTCTCCCATGGGGTGCAGGGCCCAAGCACTTGGGCCATCCTCCACTGCACTCCCTGGCCACAGCAGAGAGCTGGCCTGGAAGAGGGGCAACTTGGACAGAATCCGGCGCCCCGACCAGGACTAGAACCCGGTGTGCCGGCGCCACAGGTGGAGGATTAGCCGCGGTGCCTCATAGGTCTTAATAGCATGTTTGTTAGTTCATTTATTTATTTTATTTGAAAGGCAGAGTTACATAGAGAAGAAGAGAGACACAGAGAGAGAGAGATGTCTTCCATCTGCTGGTTCACACCCCAGATGAATGCAACAGCTGGGGTGGGCCAGGTCGAAGCCAGGAGCCCAAAGCTTCTTTTGGGTCTCCCATGTGGGTTCAGGGGCCCAAGTATTTAGGCCATCTTCTGCTGCTTTCCCAGGTGCATTAGCAGAGAGCTGGATAGGCAGAGGAGCACCTGGGACATGGACCAGTGCCCATATGGAATGCTGGTGTTGCAGGCACAGGTGGAGGCTTAACCTGCTATGCCACAACGCTTGTGAAAACGCTCTTTGAAATTTGGAAAAAAACAGTAATTCTCTGGAATATATATATATATATGTGTGTGTGTGTGTGTGTGTGTATATATATATATTCATATATATACTGTATAGTTGGAGATACTCCAAATGGGTATGGGGCTATACCCTCTGATGATACACATTAATATTTCTACAAAGAAATGTATAACCATTCACATTCAGTAGAATAAAGAACATAAATAATATTATAATTTATGTACATAAATAAGTAATGGTAAATAAAATTTGTAGGTAAATAAATTTATTGGTAAATGAAATAACAGGATATAGACTTTATATACTTTAAGCTTTTTTTTTTTTGTTGCTTGTGATAAAGGAAAAATCTCTAAGGAAATTTTAAAGTAAAATTTTAAGCTTATACTGATGAAAACACATAAACGTGTCATAAATGTTCATCAGTTCTGGCTGCCTGAGAATCTTGAAGAAGTTAATCAATAAAAATCATTGTCCATGAAACCAAGCTGGAGCTGGACATAATATGATGAGCCAGAAAGAGAATTCTCAACTGATGAAGTGGCATTATCAAGAGAGCCTTTTAAAAGACTTTACCCAGTGTCACCTATCTCTTTAACACAGGTTTCTGTCTAAGCAGTTTCTTTTTAATTGAGTAAATTGCCATGATCTCCTGCTTACTGATAAATGCACATTGTTCAAGGCCAGCAATTAATTGGTCACATATTTTTACCATATGGTCTATGGAGATTTTTTGATCTGTGCTCATAATGTCATCATCACTACTAGTGTCTTCATACTCATCTATATTCAACCCCAACTCAGCCATTTCTCCATCACTCAAGGGATGCTCAATGGGTGCATCATTATCGATGTTCAACATTTCTTCAATGTCGGCTTCTTCTAACTTATTTACACTTTCGGCTGATAAACTTTTGGCATAAGTTAGGAGTTTAGAAATCATGGTCTTTTCATTAGAGTCTATAAATCCTTCAAAATCTTCATCAGCAAGGTAATTTTCAAACATCATTGTAGCCCAAAGTCTGTGCCAAGCATTTTTTAATGTTGACTTATCAATATCATTCCAAGCATTAGCAACTGCATAGATGGCATCCTTAAGACTAAATTCTTTAAGGAAGTCCTGGATTTTCAGACCTCTGTTAACTGAGGCAAGCATGCTGTTTAAAAAAAAGTGTTTATACTTGCTCTTCATGGAACGTAGAATTCCTTGGTCACAAGGCTGTATTATGGATGTCACATTTTGTGGAAGGTAAATGCCGAAAACATTACTTTTCACAAGAAGTTCAGGAGGGGGATGTGCAGAAGAGTGGTCTAGGAATAGTAAAATCTTGCAGTTGTCTTCCAGTCCAGCTTGCTTGCAATGAGCTCGTGCTGCTGGCACAAAGTGCTTATTGAACCAATCAGCAAAGATCTCCCTTGTTACTGATGCCTTCTTGTTTGCATAATAATGAACAGGTAAATTGCATACACCTTTTAAACACTTTGGATATAGACTTTTCCCGATCACTGCCAATTTTATCTTGTGTGTGCCAGCAGCATTGGCACACCCAAGAACAGTTAATCTTTGCTTGGCATCCTTGTAATCTGTTGGGACTCTTTCGTCAGCCATTGCTAAGGTTTTCCTAGGAACATAGCACCAGTACAGAGCTGTTTCATCAGCATTGTAAATCTGCTCCGGGCTAAAGTTTTCATCAGATATTATTTTAGCAAATTCATCAATGTAATTTTCAGTAGGCTCATGATCAGCAGAAGCTTTTTCACCACAAATTTTAAGGTACTTGATACCATGACGCTTCTTGAATTTCTGTAGCCAGCCTTCTGAATACTCACACTCGCTTTCAATGTTCAGTTCTTCATGATATAGTCTAGCTTGTTTCATGACCAACAAACCAGTCAGTGGCATATCTTTACTTCTTTGTTGTCGGATCCACTCAATCAACACGCGGTCAAGATCTTCATTTTTCGCCCTGTGCAATGTTTTCCTATTTTTCATTAGTTCTTGGTTATCACTGTCACTGTAAAATTTCAGCAACTTGTCTTTCTGTTTTTTTAAGTCATATATGGTGGTGGTGCCCACACCATATTCTTCAGTAAGGTGCCTCACAGACACACCACCATCAAGCTTCTGCAATAATTCCACTTTCTGAGCTATTGATAACGACAGATGCTTCCTTTTCTTCTTCTCACTGTTATCCATAGGAATAACTTTAACTCTTTTGGACATTTTCCAATGCAGTTAATCCTCAAGTCATCAAATGTCACGAAATAACAGAGGCAGGTGTGACTGATGCAAAGGTTGACAAAACAGAGACTTCATGTTTGTCCATGGTAGGTTTCATTGCCAGATAGTCCTGATGTCAGACTTCGAAAAATACTTTTGGGATTCAGAGTGGTTTCTGTTTTTGTCTCATTTTGCAACTGCAGAATAAAGACTGTGGACCTGTATTAAAAATATCATTTTAATGAAGATAAGACTGAGGCTCAATTAGAACTCTGTTCAAGGTTATGCAGCTACTACTCATCTCTTCTGCTAATTTTCAGTCTCCCAAAATTTGTTTACTTTATTGGGCAGAATTTTTTTTGAGCGAGTATTGTCTGCCAAGATGATTTCAGAAGCAATATTTTTAGCAAAGAAATCTGTTATTCTTGGCTGTTTGACTGACACAGTCAGTAGGTGAGTCCCATGTAGAATAACATAGAGATACTTTGGTAAGAAAAGGTTAAAGATTAAATTTATATCCATTGAATACAGATTTTTTAAAACAATTCATCTATTTGGCATTTATCTATCTGGTTATATATTTCTCCACAATGAGCAGACAGGAAAAATGAAAAAGAGATCCTTTTATATATGTTCCAAACACTCCCATGAATATTTCCTAAATACCCACTCATTTTTTGCTTGTTTATTTTTTTAAAATTTATTTTTATTTTATATGCAAGGAAGTGAGAGAGAGAGAGAGAGAGAGAGAGAGAGAGATTTTTCATTCACTTGTTCACTCTTTAGATGCCCACCAAAGCTGGGACTGGGCCAGGCCAAAGCCAGGAACCCGGAACTCAAACTGGGTTTTTCATGTGGGTGGCAGGGACTCAGGTACCTGAATCATCATTTGCTGTGTCCCAGGATGCACATTAGCAAGAAGCTGGAATTGGAGGTGGAGATGGAACTCAAAGCCAGGAACTCTGATATGGGATGTGAGTACCAAGTAGTGCCCTAACTGCTGCACCAGATGCCTGCTCCTATTCCACTGACAGGTTCCCCAAATGCCCACAAGGTGGGCTGGGGCTGAAGCTAGTGGCAGGGAACTTAATTCTGTTTCCCACATTGGTGTCAGGAAGTCAATTACTTCCTTGCAGTGTCTGCTTTAACAGGACGCTAGAGTTAGAAGTTGGAGCTGAGTATTGAACCTAGACACTCCGATACGGGATGCAAGTGTCTCAAATGCTAGGCTAAATATTTGCCCATTTTTTAAAAAACTGTTTCACAAATTGTACATCCCAACTGTGACTCAGAATCAGTTATCAACTTCATTTGTGACATTCTAATAAAGTATTTCCTTAAACTCAAAACCTAGAAAAAATTCATTAGAATTTTTAACTTAAAACTTGTGGTAAGGGCCTTATTTCATGCACTATTTTATGAGGTCCTATTGGAAGCCCAACTTTTCTTCATCATTCTCATCATCCTCATATTGTTCAGATTTTCATCAAATGTTTAACAGGACTTATAAAAGTCAGAAGATTGTTAATTAAATCCCAAGTTTCTAGTTTCCCATTAGATACAAAAGCAGTCCTATTAGCTGGGAGGCTTACAAATGAGTAAAGCACCAATCCTCTAACCAGAAGACTTAAAAATCTAGTAAATAAATGTAAGAAATGTGTAAAATCCAATGAGGATTCTCACCTTTAGGGTAGGAAAATATCATATTTGGTGAGGTAGATAAACTCATTTTACACGGGTTTCTCCTATTAGGTTATAATGATAACTATAATTTATCAGGTAACTTTCTGTGTGCCAGTGTGCCACACTGAGAAGCTAGTATTTAAGAAGCATCATGGCCGGTGCCACGGCTCACTAGGCTAATCCACCTTGTGGCGCTGGCACACCGGGTTCTAGTCCCGGTCGGGGAGCTGGATTCTGTCCCGGTTGCCCTCTTCCAGGCCAGCTCTCTGCTATGGCCCGGGAGTGCAGTGGAGGATGGCCCAAGTGCTTGGGCCCTGCACCCGCATGGGAGACCAGGAGAAGCACCTGGCTCCTGGCTTTGGATCAGCGTGATGCGCTAGCCGTAGCATGCTGGCCGCGGCAGCCATTGGAGGGTGAACCAACAGAAAAAGGAAGACCTTTCTCTCCGTCTCTCTCTCTCTCACTGTCCACTCTGCCTGTCCAAAAAAAAAAAAAAAAAAGCATCAGACTCAGAAAGAGTTGACCTGCCCTTGGCTAGTGTCAAAAACTTCTGATAGAGTTTCTATGCCTCCTGTCTATTTGACTACAGAATCCTACTTATTTCCTCTCCTTACTTTAACATACTCTTTCCTTTGCTCCGAGCAAACGTTTTTCTTTCCTACCTCTCCCTTTACTATGGTCCTTTCTTCTACTTTATGAAAGAAAATATGCCAGGGCATAGGAATGAGTGAAAAATAGAACATGTGGACTTGCGTTTTTATAGTAGCTATAAAATTATAATGGTTAATATGTGTGTATATATACGTGTGTGTGTATTTGTGTATTTAATTTGAGAGAAAGAGATCACAATCGAGTGTCCCTACCCACTGGTTCACTCCCCAAATGCCTTTGATGCTGGCTGGGCTGAGCTGGCAGCAAGGAACTCAATTCAGGTCCCCCGCACAGATAGTAGAAACCCAGTAACCTGAGCTATCACCACCACCTACCTACCAGGGTCTGCTTTGGCAAGAAGCTGGAGTCAGGAGCTAGAGGTGAGAATCCAAACCAGGTATTCTGGTGTGGAATGTGGGCATCTTAACTGCTAGGCCAAATATCTGCCCTATTAAGTATATAGCTTTAGGCCAGTGCCACGGCTCACTAGGCTAATCCTCCGCCTTGCGGCGCCGGCACACCGGGTTCTAGTCCCAGTCGGGGCGCCGGATTCTGTCCCGGTTGCCCCTCTTCCAGGCCAGCTCTCTGCTGTGGCCCGGGAGTGCGGTGGAGGATGGCCCAAGTGCTTGGGCCCTGCACTCCATGGGAGACCAGGAGAAGCACCTGGCTCCTGGCTTTGGATCAGCGCGGTGCGCCGGCCGCGGCTGCCATTGGAGGGTGAACCAACAGCAAGGGAAGACCTTTCTCTCTCTCTCTCACTGTCCACTCTGCCTGTCAAAAAAAAAAAAAAAAGTATATAGCTTTATCTTTTTTTATTTAAAAGGTAGCGTGACAGTGAGAGATTTCTTCCTCCCATTGATTCACTCTCCAAATAGCGGCAACAGCTGGGCTTGTTGACAGTACACTGCTGGGAGCCTGGAACTCAGGTAGGGTCTCCCACATATGTGGAAGGGACCACGATAATTTAAGTCATCATCTACTGCCTTCCAGGGTCAACATTAGCAAGGAGCTGGATTGGAAACAGAAGAGACGGGACTTGAGGCAGGCACTCCAGTATGGGATATCGCCATCCAAAGTGGTGATTTATTTTTTCTTTATTTTTTTTTATATTTATTTGACAGGTAGAGTTATAGAAAATGAGAGGGGGAGAGAGAGAGAGAGAGAGAGAGAGAGGTCTTCCTTCCGTTGGTTCACTCCCCAAATGGCTGCCACGGGCAGCGCGCTGCACCGATCCGAAGCTAGGAGCCAAGTGCTTCCTCCTGGTCTCCCATACAGGTGCAGGGACCCAAGCACTTGGGCCATCCTCCACTGCCCTCCTGGGCCACAGCAGAGAGCTGGACTGGAAGAGGAGCAGCCGGGACTAGAACCCGGCGCCGCAGGCGGAGGATTAACCAAGTGAGCCACAGTGCCGGCCCCCCAAAGTGGTGATTTAACTACTCTTTCAAACACCTGACCAGTATATTTTTATCTTTTATTAAACACATAGTTTGGTTATGATAGCCAGTGTAATTAATGACTTCATCTCTAATTTTTAAGCATACATTTTATTATACTAAAAATTCAATGTCAAAGTTCAAATCATACATGTTTATTTATTTTCTAAAGAGTATCATACCTGGAGCCAGTGTTGTGGTAGAGTAGGTTGTCTCCATTTGTGATTCTAGTTTGGCCCTGCCTATGGTGGCCATTTGGGGGAGAGAACCAACAAATGGAAGATCTCTCTGTCATTCTCCCTTTCAAATATATGAATAAATAAATCAGTCTTATAAAAAAAAGAGAGGAATATTGTTCAGGGGTGGGTGTTGTGACATAGTGGATTCAACTGCCGCTTTTGATGCTGCCAGCATTTCATATCAGAGTGCTGGTTAGCATCCAGGATGCTCTGCTTCTTATTGGGCTTGCTTGTAAAGCATCTGGGAGGCAGCAGATGATGGCTCAAGTATTTGAGTCCCCATCAGCCGTGTGGGAGATCTGGATGGAGTTCCTGGCTCCTGGATTCAGCCTGGCTACTGCAGCCATCTGAGGAGTGAACCAGAGGATGGTTCTCTCTCTCTCCCCCTCTCTCTGTTGTTCTGCCCTTGAAATAATAAATAAATAAAGTAAAGCTTTAAAAAGAAAAAAGAAATACACTGCTCAAGATGGATTCTATAATTTACTGCAATGTTTTTGATAATTCTTATTCAAAACAAAGATTTCTTTGAACTGAAAAATAACACTGGATTTTTTCTAACAGAAAAAAAAAAAAAAAAATTCAGGCTGGCGCCGCAGCTCAATAGGCTAATCCTCCACCTGTGGCGCCAGCACACCGGGTTCTAGTCCCCGTCGGGGAGCCGGATTCTGTCCCGGTTGCCCCTCTTCCAGGCCAGCTCTCTGCTGTGGCCCGGGAGTGCAGTGGAGGATGGCCCAAGTGCTTGGGCCCTGCACCCCATGGGAGACCAGGAGAAGCACCTGGCTCCTGGCTTTGGATCAGCGTGGTGTGCCGGCCACAGAGCGCCGGCCGCGGCGGCCATTGGAAGGTGAACCAACAGCAAAAGGAAGACCTTTCTCTCTGTCTCTCTTTCTCACTGTCCACTCTGCCTGTCAAAAAAAAAAAAAAAAAAAAAAAAAAAAGAAGAAAGAAAGAAAGAAAAATTCAGTTTCACTTACTAGTTTGACAATGAGGATTAGCTTTGTTAATTAAGTTACATGGCAACATTTCCCCATTTTCAATAGTAAAACCCATAATGATTTATTCAAGATTTATTTATTTGAAAAGCAGAGTGATAGAAAGAGATCTTCTATTTGCTGATCCACTCCCCAAATAGGTGCAATAGCCACATCTGGGCTGGTGAAAGTCAGGAACCAGGAACTCCTTCCTAGTGTCCCATGTGGGTGTCAGGAGCTGA